AAATGTTTAAAATACAAGGGGATCTGAAACAAGCGTAGGACAGATAGCTCTTGGCATCCGAGTGCGTGCGTCTGGGTGGCAGGCGCCCGTGCCTTCGTGAGAATGTGACAGTGTGTGCCGTCAGCACACGTGCTGAAGAAGACCACTGACTGTGAGCGGGACCCTGGCTGGCGCCGGTGCCTGTGAAGCTCTGTGACTGTAGTGTGGTGGGTGAGACGCTGGGTTCTGAAGTCTGGTGATGTGAACGGAGGGAACGCCTCTGTGACATCTCCATTTACGGGATGCTTCTCCAGGTGGGCCCCACCCCCTTTTGTGTTGTTTTGTGTTTCCTGTCACTTGGCCTCTTGGGCTGCAGTCTTTCTATGATTGTGGGGATCCACCCATTGACCTACACAGGTAGTTCCCAGGTTATGAACGAGATCCGTTCCTAACTGTGTCTTTAAGAATTTGTAGGTAGGTCAGAACAGGTGCATCCAGTTCTTACTTAGCTTTACTTTAGTGCCGGAGAAAGGAGGTCTGCAAAGAAGAATGAAGAAAACCAAAGATGCATGGAAACAATTAATCCAAGGGACTGGTACACCATGCAATCCTCAGCCTATATGACTATGAGACCAGAAGAACTAGATGGTGCCCGGCTACCACTGTCAACCACTTGGAGGGACATCTCTGTAGGAGATCCTGGATGGAGTGAGAGAACAATGTGGAACAAAAGTCAAAATCTTTTTTAAAAAGAAAAAAAGGGACCAGGTTTGCTGCTCTGATAGAGCCTGGTGGAACCCCTGAGACTACAGCTCCTGGCTGCCCTTCGGGTCTGGAATTTAACCCACTCCCGTGACTTCCAGCCAAACCAAAGACAGGCATATAAGGTGAACATTTACACTAGGTATATACACTCCTTGGAGAGATCAATTGTGGGAGAATGGAAGGGCATTGTATGCACAGGAAGACAGTTCGGGGGGCAGGAGTGCATGGAGAGGAGGACACGGGGAAGAGGTGGCTCTGGGGAGGAAGTGGGAGGAAAGCTGTTGCATTGTGGGAAATTGTAGTCAGTGTCATCAGACAAAGTGTGTGTGAGCTGCTGTATGGAAAATGAACTTCCTCTAAACTTTCACTCAAATCAAATAAAAATTAAAAAGAGAGAGAGAGAAAGGCACTTCGGAGGCACAGGGCCTAAGGTATTTGACTGCTAACTAGAAGATTGTCAGTTCAAAGGCACTCTGTGGAAGAAAGACGGGGCCATCTACTTCCATAAAGATTTACCACCTCGCAAACCCAATAGGGGTCACTGTGAGTCAGAGTCCACTCAGTGGCAGTGGGTTTGGCTTGGTTTGGTTTGAGTGCAAGAGAGGAGCCCTGCTGGGCAGTGGTTTAGTTTGAATCCACTGGCTGTTCCATGGGAAAAGATGAGGCAGTCTGCTTCCATAAATATTACAGCCTTGGAACCCTGTGGGGCAGTTCTGCTCTGTCCTTTGGGGTTGCTATGGATCAGAATCAACTTGATAGCAACAAATTTGAATAGGTTTTTGGGTTTATTGCAAATCATTGAAAGCTGCCTGTACAGTGAGTGAGGGTGAATGTGATGGAAAATCTGTTGTGAATAGGGGCAGGTTCAGTCTTTTCAAAGTGGGGGCAAGTTTACATCACATGAAAGGGCAGGTAGGAAGTGTCTGGAACCGGGCCTGTGTGTATTCTAACTCCCTTCACAACAACGAAGGTGAATTCTTGTCACTAGGGACTTTGTGCAAAACATTGTAAAGTGAGAAGTTGCACCTGGAGGAACAGCATGTGGGGAGAAAAACACTCATTCCAGGCCGTGGCTGTGTCAATCTGGGTGATGGGACGGGCGCCTTTATTCAGGTGGGCGTGTCAGTCCGGGTGACAGGACGGGCGCCTTTACTCAGGTGGCCGTGTCAGTCCGGGTGACGGGACGGGTGCCTTTATTCAAGTGGGCGTGTCAGTCCGGGTGAGGGGACAGGCATCTTTGTTCAGGTGGATGTAGACAGTTAGGTTTCACAGTTGATGGGCTTTGTACTTACCGGTGCCATGTCCTCCCAAAGCTGTGTCTCTTCCCCTGGAATTTCCTCTCCCGGAAACCCTCCCTGCTCTTTTCCCATTTCCATTTGTCACCTGTCTTCTACCATCTAATTTAAATGCCACCTTCAGGAAGCGTTCCCCCCTCTGCCCTCGGCCATGTAAACTTAGCATGGCATTCCCGTTGTCTTCCCGTGCAATGGCGTTCTTTTTGTGGATGATGTTTCTCCCTTGCAGATCTGCCGTCCATGCTTGATGTCTTGTACCGTCTGGTACGGGATTTGGTGGGGTGTGGTGTTGAGGGTTGGGCGGTGTTTGGGGTTTGGTGCCGTTTGGTATTTGGTGCTGTTTGGGGTGTGGTGCTGCTTGGTGGTGGGTGGTGGTTGGGGTTTGGTGCCGTTGGATTGGTGGTGGGTGGTGGGCGGAGCTGTTTGGGGGCTGGCATGTGGGTGCCACCGTCTTTCTGCGCAGACGCACAGCAGGCGCCGTTGCCTCCTCTCCCAGGTTCCTTTGCCTGAAAGAATCGCACCTTAGCCCCAGTTCTGTTCCGGACGTCTCCTCCAGGTGAACTTCCTGAAGGCCCTCAGGTGGATGACAAAGTCCCCCTGAGCCTGTTGCCTGAATGCAAGTGCTTTACAATGTTGGCGGACTCAGATTTGTGCAGTTGCCGGCAACCACCAGCTCTGGTGGAGTAGTGCCTAAGGCACTTGGCTGCTAACCAGAAGGCTGGCGGTTCAAACCCACCAGCCACTCCTTGGAAGGAAGGTTGGGCAATCTACTTCCGTAGAGATACTGCCTTGGAAACCCAAGGAGGGGTCGCTATGAGTCGAATCCAATTCAGCGGCAGTGGGTTTGGTATGGTTTTTTGGCAGCCGCCGATGAGGTGGGAACACTGCTTTCGGAGGACAGTTTGAAATCGTCGTCTTCCAGGTTCTTGTCTAAGTTCTGGTACCTAAACTTCTTCTTGTAGCAAATTTTAGAACATGGGAGGTTTTCTGCTTTCTAAGTCGTGACCTTAGTTCTTAGTTGTCTGGCTTTTGTCATCTCACGACAGGCACTAAGCTTGCGTCGAACATTTTTATTACGTGTGAATAATGGAGTGCGCGTGCTGAGGTGCCAGAGATGCAATTTTGTTAAATGTACATCCTGGTAGATTTAAAAATGAGGGATTTCTCTTGTCATTCATAAAGTTGTAATGCAGTCCAGAGACATGGTTTGTTAAAAGATAGCATCTACTTAACCTCCTTATTTATTTCTTGCAGGAGAAGGTTAGATCCACAATAAATACATGAAGAAATAAGTAGATAGGGGAATTTATCTTGGAAATAAGATCCCTGTCATGGTTTTGAAATGTTAAATGCATGAAGACCCATCAAAGAGATATACGGACATGATATTTTTTCACAGTGCATTGCAAAGTATTTAGCTGTATTTGTCATTCTCCAGGACCAGGAAGCAGTGATCAGATGAGGGGGTAATTTGAAAGTCAGCTTTCTGAAAACGGGTACAAATGCAGTGCCCAGACACGTGCCGTATGTAGCTACATTAATTGGCAGGTTTAATATTGAAGTGCTTTTAATATTTGTGTGGCATTTGTCAACTAGTTAACAGTTCTACTCATATAGATTCTACTTCATACACCATTTCTTTATCTAATAGAAGAAGGGCATTTTCATAAAAGGCACTTTCATAATTTGGCCCCCAAGGACCTGGGAAGTTGGTGAAGCAGCCCCCCTTTGCCTGAGATGGGCCGGCACCTCTGGAACCTGGGGTTCTTTCGCCACTTCCGGGGCTAAGAGGTTGTGAATGGGGCGGGGGGAAGAGCCCGTGGCGGCCGCTCGTTCGGCATCCCCTTGATTGCGACCGGGGGACGGAGACGCGTAGACAGGAATCCCTGACTTGCTGACAGCGTCCCCGTTTGTGGTGGTGAAATTGACCTCTCCAGGCCACGTTCTCTCCTTGGACGGCAGGGCCACATCTTAAAATGGTTGCATTCTCGATAGTGCCTTTCAGTTTGCAGGGGTCTGCCCATCCCCTTGAATTACCTGCCACTCTTTTCCTTGTTTCGTCCTTGGGTTTGCTGGGAACTAAATAGGTGGGACTTGGGTTGGAAGGTCCGGCTTGGAAGGTCTGGGGTAGCCAGGATTTCCAGAGCACATGTGGAAAAGGACAGAGCCCAGCCCAATGAATGGTTCAAGTCCTGTGTTAGGTGATAGCTCCTTTATAACTGACGGTATTGAAGGATCAGAAACTGTGAACTGGGGGCGGAATGAACTCTTCCTCCAAGTGTGGATTTTTATTCTCAAACCGGAAATAATGAGGTTCTTTTCTTTGCGAAGATCCCTTTAAAAACATGCATTGCGATCGTCTTACTTTTCTTCTTATCACAGGAAGCGTCTCCTGGCCGCGAGTGACGGCCCAGCAGAGCCCCTTGATGGGGACGCGCTCTCCCCGGGCGCATGGGGTGGGGGCAGCCGTGGGGCTGCGGTGCGGTCCTGGGCTGGGCTCCCGCCCCGAGCGCATCGCCGCTGCCGCGGCCTGACAGCGAGCCGGCCTTGTCTGAGTGGTCTAGTCAGATCGCTTTTCATTTAGCCTCTGGTCTGACAGCCCTGCCCTGGATAAGTGGTGTAGACCTGTGCAGCTGAAATCTATTCTCACATTTGCCTCAGGGGTGACTGGACTGTAACAGAATTTTTCAAACCCGTTGGGCCCAACCGCAAAGCAGAGAATAAATGGCTGAAGTGCCAGGCCTTGACAGAAAAATCAATGCCTGGTTATACAGACATGACAGAGCAGGTCTGCAATTCGCCCACCGAAGTGTGCGCTTCCACCGCAGGCCCGGGGCGGGCGGCCTGCCCTCCCGGCTGGGAGCTGGCGAGACTCACGCTTTCCTTCTGTTTCCTCCCACGCAGGAAATTCACATGCCACCTTTGCGACCGAAGTTTCACGGAGAAGTGGGCCCTCAACAACCACATGAAGCTGCACACTGGCGAGAAGCCGTTCAAGTGCACCTGGCCCACCTGCCACTACTCCTTCCTCACCGCCTCGGCCATGAAAGACCACTACCGGACCCACACAGGTCGGGGCCTCACCTCACCCCCGTAGACAAAGTGAGCTGTCATGCGCATGCGTTAATTACTCCAGTAGCGATCAATGTCAGTGATTCCTGCTTGAAGAGTTTGTTTTAAGACAGTGGTCATTCCCTACTAACAGAGGTACCATCATCTCATTTTTTTCCATGAGACTTGGTTATTTTAAAGTGACACTTTCGTGTTGAATGTTTGCATTTGCATGTGTTTAAACAAACACCTCACACAGTTAGAAGCTCATTTAGGGGGTATGTGCATCTATGTTAAATAAAGTGAGCTCCAGTTTTAGAAGCTCATTTGTGGAGATTAAGTTTTGACAGAGAACTCGTCTTACATTTTGTTACTGACATAAACTAAGTTCCAGAGTATTATGAAATATTACTGAATCTTAGTACCTTTAATAGGATCTCTGGTAACATAGTGCCTAAGGCACTTGACTGCTAACCAGAAGGCTGGCGGTTCAAACCCACCAGCCACTCTTCGGAAGGAAGGTTGGGCAATCCTACTTCTGCAGTGATACTGCCTCGGAAATCCAAGGAGGGGTCTCTCTGAGTCGGGGCCGACTCGATGACACATAACAACAAGAAGTTAAAAATTAATCAGATTACTATTTTCTTGGAAGAGGAGGGGGCTGGCAGAGACACAAGTTTTGATAGTGAATATAAAGATACTAATATGAATTTAGTGACTAAATGTTTTTATAAGATTCCAAATTCACATACATTTTGCACCAAAACATTCAAACAATGTATGGCAGTGAAAGGAATTGTCCATAAGAACAGAACCGATAGTCTGTCCGTGAGTCCTGGCTCGGGGAGCCCGAGGTGCTGGCCTTCGTAAACACAGTTCCCATGGGCACTGGGCACGGCGCACTGGGCAGCATGTCTGTGGCTCGTGTCTCTGTCTGTGTGTGGTGGGCTCCCGCCTCTGGAAGCATAGAGATGAACCCTCTTCTTACATCAGCCTAGTGATACTACAGTGCACTGTCAGGTATTTTGTGGTTGTCGTTCTCTTTACACCTTTCAGAAAGTATTTTGTTTCAGGGGAAAGAGGAATAAATTTTCATCAGCATTCTCCAGTGCTCCTCTTATTGCCAAGCAGCCTATATTGTTGCTGGAAATTATAGGTGGGAAGTTCTCTGGACCAGTCTGTGGGAGCCCAAGCCTCCTTAGCCTCCTTGACAAGGGTGTTGACGATGTAAGGTCTCCAGCTGCCCTGAGAGATCACTTATATCGAACAGCAGATGAAAGCCAGTGCAGATGTAATTTATCGTCGGCGTTTCCTTCTGAAGAATAATTGTGGAGACTTGGCTGGATCAATACTATGGATTTTTGTTGTTAGGTCTTGTAGTCTGCACCATAATGAGAGAGGGACAGTGGCTGCTTTCCGATAGAAAGCACAGGGTTGGCTTCTGTGTCTTTGCACATTTGAATGCAAAATGGCGCGCTTGAAACTGATCCAGTGGTTAAGAGAAGGGCCATCTCCCTTTGTCTCTCCTTTGTCATATAAACATGGCCTGTTAAGTGATTACCTTTATATGGAGTGCAGTAGAGCAGTGAGGTTTTTCTTAAAAGTTTTTTTTCTATAAAAGTTGTTTTCTGTACCCTATTTGCCCACTGCCCGCCCTAGCTGCTCTACTCCCTTCAAAAAACAAATAAAAACCGAGTGAAAATTGCATTTATATTGAAAAACAAATCAAGCCACCAAGGCAAGTATGACATGCAGTCCAGCGGAGACTCACTCCCATGGTGAAATCTTACGTGTCCTGACACCCAGGTCACTAATGTATTTAGAGTCAGATCCCATGGAAAAGGACTGACTTGTCTCTGTGCCTGTGAGCATCCCACGACAGGAGAGAGGTTAAAACTTTACATATACGTGCAGCTTGTACACACAGAGATCCTAAATGCCATGAGGATTTTTCTGTGGTAGTTAGTATTTTTATTTTACAAGAAAGAGGTAGGTTGCTTCTTATTATGAAGAAACTTCATAACAGAGAGAACGGAAACCTACTTTTATTATATCCAAGAATGGTAAGAGTCCTCTCTCGCCACTAGATGTATTGCCAGGTGGGTGACCCGGTGCAACGTCCCCATGACCGCTGACCCACCAGACTCATTTGCAGGAATGTGTACCAGCATACCCCCGATCACCCCCCCAACACACACACGGGTTCATCCCACAAAACTGCACCAGGAGGTGGCATATGATCAGGAACCAGTGGTATTGAGGGAGGAAGTCTAAGCTACACTGAAGGCACTGGTGAAAAACAAGGCTCCAGGAATTGACGGAATACCCACTGAGATGTTTCTGCAAACAGCTGCAGCACTGAAGGCACTCACTCATCCATGCCAAGAACTTTGGAAGACAGCTACCTGGCCCAACCGTTGGAAGAGAATCCGTGTGTATGGCTGGCCATGCCCAAGAAAGGCAATCCAACAGAATGCGGAAATTATCAAACAATATCATTACTCTCAAAGACAATTTTGCCAAAGATATTTTAAAAATGGTTGCAGCTGTACATTGACAGGGCACTGCCAGAAATTCAAGCTGGGTTCAGAAGAGGACATGGAATTAGGAATATCATTGCTGATGTGAAATGAATCTTGGCTGAAAGCAGAGAATACCAGATAGATATTTGTATGTATTTTATTGACTATGCAAAGGGCATTTGACTATGTGAATCATAATAAATTATGGATGACATTGTGACAAATGAGAATTCCAGAACACTTAACTGTGCTCATGTAGAACCTGTACTGGACAAGAGAAGCCATTCAAACAAGGGGGTACTGCGTGGTTTAAAATCAGGAAAGGGGTGCATCAGGGTTACATCATTTCACCTTGCTTAATCAATCTGTATGCTAAGCAGATCATCTGAGAAGCTGGGCTATATAAAGAAGAATGGGGCATGAGGCCTAGAGGCAGACTTACCAACAACCTGTGATGCGCATATGACACAGCCATGCTTGCTGAAACCAAGGGAGATTTGAAGTACTTACTGATGAAGGTCAAAGTCTACAGTCTTCAGTATGGATTACGCCTCAACACAAAGAAAACAGAAATCCTCACAACTGGACCAAAAGGCAGGATCATGATAAACAGAGAAAAGATTGAAATTGTCAAGGATTTAATTTTTACTTTGATCTACAATCAACACCCGTGGAAGCAGCAGTCAAGAAATCAGACAATGTATTGCCTTGGGCAAATCTGCAGCAAAAGACCTCTTTAAAGTGTTAAAAAGCAAAGATGTCACTTTGAGGACTAAGATGCACCTGACTCAACAAGTTCATGGCGTTTTCCGTTACCTCATACGTGCAACAGCTGAACAGTGAATAAGGGATGCTGAAGAATTGATGCCTATGAATTAGAGTGTTGGTGAAAAACATTGACTATTGCCTGGACTGCCAAGAGAAGGAACAAAGCTCTTGGAAGAAGTATGGCTAGAATACTCCTTAGAAACAAGCATGGCAAGATTTCATCTCAAGTAGTTGGGGCATCAGGTGGGGCCAGTCCCCTTAGGAGGACATCATACTGAGTGAAATGGAGGGACAGCGAAAGGTGGGAGACCTGCAGGGATGTGGATTGACACGGTGGGTGCGGCCGTGGGCTCAGACATGGCGGCAGCTGTGAGGTTGGCAGGAGCAGTGTTGTGTTGTATTGCACACTTAGTCACTGATACGGAGCCCACTTGACGGCACCTGACAACGACAACATGGGGAAGCATACTAATATTAATGAACAAAATGTCTTTGGTATTTAAATAAAAATGTCTGTGTTAGCGTTGTTTAATTGATAGTATAGCTACTTAGATTTATATTGAAAATTGATTAAATAATTAAATGTCTGATTATAATTAAACCTGATTCTTCACAGCCCATCTACTCTAGCCTGTGTTTCTATATTGTAATGGTGATACTAAGAAATAAAAAACTTAAGCTCTGAAAAGGAAAGTAAAGCTAGGAAAAATATTTTTAAATTCTGCTTTATTTTTTCAGTGATAGCAGTAAATGTCACCATACCATTAGGATGCAGTATTAGACGTTGTTTGGTTAAAACTGTCATTTAATATGTGTTGATTTCAGTTAGAAATGCCTGCCATGCTGGTGACTGAGGGACGGCTGTTGGATTATCCATGTTATCTGCCTTTCTAGATTGACTGTTTTTTCTTACCTTGAAAAGAGCAATTACATTTCCAAAACGCCTCCAGCTAGATTTCTGTTACGATATACCAAAACATTTTAGGGCATAGCCGGCCGACTCAGGCAAAACCCTTGAAGACTTGTTGCCTTACATGTCTAAATTAGTGAAGTAGATAAAGGCAGATACAAATGATTTATTTTATTTCTGGAAAAGTATTTCATAATTTCACTGAATCTCCACATGTAGTGTTTTTATCCTGTTTTGCCCTTCTCCGTGGGCCTTCTGGGATAAAGCTGCCTAGCTTGCCAGCACTTACTGCCTAAATATGCTACAGTCAAAAGATATATTGCATTTATAAACTGCAGGGCACAATGTTAGCTTGGATAAAAATACTGTATTAAAAAACAAACATTCACCCATTCTTAACACATACTATGTCTGCCAAATCTCTCTGTAATCGTTGCAACAGTTTTCATTCAGGAGCTATCATTAAAGATGAATAATACAAGTTTTTCTGCAATTTTTTTAGCAGTCTCTCGACTTTTTTTTTTTTTTTTTAATGCCATGAAAGTTTGGGAAACATAAACAGCACTGAATTGTTATTGGTACTGAGTAATGCGGATTTTATTGTTGCTTGGGATCCTCAGTACGTTCAAGGACACCATTTAATTCATATTATTAAGTAGGAAGTTATTAAAGAAGACCCTGATAGAATCAGTTAAAACCCATTCAATATCCTTAAGTTGTTACAAAATTCAATATGTTTTATTTAAGCAGAATCATATATACTGTATATTAACCATTCCGAGCAATCTTTACTCAGCTCCGAGAGGCCAGATGTATGGGAATTGTAAAAAATCAGGATATGCATAAAAACTGTTCAAGTGCATAAAGCAGCCCCATCTGGAAGACATCTACCAGAAATGAAGTTGTACAAAACCATTCCATTGATAATAAAGCTAATTTTTATGGGTCTGACAAGTATGTAATTATGTTCAGTGGTGCTTTTCAGATTTTATCACAGTCAATAAACCGCAGTGGTAATTTCATTCCCATTTGACATATTTACATGGAAACATTTGATTGGAGGAATTAGTAACCCTGAAAGCCTTGATAGATAGGTTTTAATGATCTGTGACCTCCACAGTCCCTCATCTGTTTATTGTTGCAACAGGCGAGAAGTCGTTCCTGTGTGATCTCTGTGGCTTTGCTGGCGGGACCCGGCACGCTCTCACCAAACACCGACGGCAGCACACAGGTCAGTCGAGCCGACCTCATCCTTGGCTGTTGCCTCTGAGGCATGAGCACCCCAATAGCCAGGGACCCAGCAGTGACATCCCATGTCCCGGCACAAATGCTGGCCCCAGCCTGTGTACCTCTGTGTGTTTGCACAATGTGTGGGGGTCTAGGGAAAATTCTACTCGAAGGCATAATGTTTAAGTATTTGCTTTATAGATTGAAAAAGGAGGCCACCCACAAACTTTTGGGATCAGGTGTCCCCACTCAATTCATGGTAAAGAGGAGGAAGGAGAAAGTTTGGCTCCCAAAGCCCAGGACTTTGCCTGGTGGGGTCCTGGGTGACATCCTCTCTCAGGGTGTCAGTCAGTCTCCCTCTACCCCCTGCTCACGCACCCACTTGCACACCTACTTGCCACGCTCCTTTTCCGTTTGTCTCTCTGCCTACCTGTCTGCCCATCACCCACCCCTCTGTCCGGTTTGAGCTACAGCGGTGGCAGTCAGTTACCCTTCCAGTTTGGAGTCCACAGCACTGACGGTGCCCATCGGCCCAGATGCAGGCAGGAGGCCTTTTTCCCCTTTAGTGTACATTCGTGGGAATTCAGTGAGACAGTATTCCTTGGCTAGGAACACTGAAGGCCTAGGTATTTGAATCGTTTGTCAAATTTTATTGTCTGCTTTGTGCCTCATAGTAGGCCTGATAAGTAATCATTTGGCTAAGTCTTGGTGCTGTGTGTCCAGGCCTATGTTTGTTGTCCCTTTAATGATGACAAGCACGACTGTTTGCTTTCGGAAGTGTTCTAGTTTACATGATAAGTCAGGTGATGGCATAACTTGTAACTGAATATTAGAATTTCTTTGGGTAACATGAAAATGGTCAGGGTTGCCAGTCCAACACTAAATGATGTTGAAACACATTGTTTTATAGACATTTTGTTTGATTCTTGATATATTAACAGTTAGGTTCAGGTAGTCGTCAGTCTTAGGTTCAGGATCATTGAAAACTGATGCAAGATCTTGAATCTGTGCTTCAAGTCTCTCTCTGAGATGAGGGTTATTATTGAGTCACAGAGAAACGCCCAGTGTTTAGAGTAACTCTGGAAAGGTGAACTTAATTGTGAAAACATAAAATTCCATTCCAAGTTTATGGAAACAACTATGGGCATGTCATCTTAATCCACAAACTCAAAGATTCCATGTCCAAGACGGCAGATGAGGCCCAGGTAACAGTGGTCATCCCCTGTCTGTGATAAATGCATGTGGTAAGCATATGCCCATGTGGGGTGAATGCGTGTGGTAAGCATGTGCCCGTGTGGGGTGAATGCATGTGGAAAGCATGTGCCCAGGTGGGTGATTATGTGTGGTAAGCATGGGCCCACGTGGGGTGAACGCATGTGGTAAGCATGGGCCCACGTGGGGTGAACGTGTGTGGTAAGCGTGTACCCATGTGGGGTGAACGCATGTGGTAAGCATGTACCATGTGGGGTGAACGAGTGTGGTAAGCGTGTACCATGTGGGGTGAAAGCGTGTGGTAAGCATGAGCCCACGTGGGGTGAACGTGTGTGGTAAGCATGAGCCCACGTGGGGTGAACATGTGTGGTAAGCGTGTACCATGTGGGGTGAACGTGTGTGGTAAGCGTGTACCATGTGGGGTGAACACGTGTGGTAAGCGTGTACCATGTGGGGTGAACGTGTGTGGTAAGCATGAGCCCACGTGGGGTGAACGTGTGCGGTAAGCATGAGCCCACATGGGGTGAACGTGTGTGGTAAGCGTGTACCCATGTGGGGTGAACGCGTGTGGTAAGCGTGAGGCTGTGCAGGCTTTCCCACCCTCGCTGCTTTCAGCAGATTGATTGCCACGTTGCCGCTCCACACGGGCCATCAGCTAACTTGGTCACACCTGCTGTCGCCCTGGGAATGCCACCCTCCCTTCTGGGAAGACCTCTGCCCAGGTGGTCCTGTCTCACGGTCAGGTGTGCCACTCCCGCCCCCTCACACCAGCGACAGCAGCACCTCGGTTATGGGCATTTGCAGGCTGTCCGTCATGAAGCCTCTGCCGGGAGGTTCCTTATCACTTTGCTGTTAGCTTCATACCATGTAAGGAGCTCTAGTCCACAGTGGCCAAAGCAGCTACTAACCAAAAGGCCACAAGTTCGGACCCACCAGCTGCTCCATGGGAGAAAGATATAGCAGTCTGCTTCCATAAAGACTACAGCTTTGGAAATCCTGGGGCACAGTTCTGCCCTGTCCTGTAGCTGCTGTGAGTCCGAATTGACTTGACGGTAACAGGTTAGTTGTTTTTGTTTGTTTTTTCTCGGCTACACCGTACAGGAGAGTGTCTCAGAGAAAAAGGCGTCTGTCTTTTTGACATTTATCTGCCTCTGTGGCACACCTCAATGATGATTTTTTAAGACAAAAATCACTTCTTAAAGATGGCTGACTTCAACAAAAACAGCTGAGCACAGCTCAGTCGAGGCACTCAGTGTTGATGGTGGGTTGACAAGGTGTAGGTGCCAGGCGGTTGTGTTTTCAAGGCTAGACGGATATGTGCATCTGCAGTCTACTTCTCTGTGTTCCTCTGTGATGTGCTTTACCTTTTACCACAGAGCTGCCACGCAAATTACAGTCCACTTGGAAAGGTACTCACAATGTTCAGATGGTGTAAATAGTTGCTTCCTACAACACAGGGGCTGACACACAACTTTGAGTCGGTTCCAACTCCTAGTGACCCCCTTTGGGTTTCTGGGATGGTAACTCTTCATGGAAGTAGATTGCCCTGTCTTCCTTCTGTGGAGTGGCTGGCAGGGTTGAACCACCAACCTTCTGATTAGCAGCCAAATGCCTTAGGCACCGTGCCACCAGAGCTCCTTATTAGCAACATAGAAAATATAATTACCATTACTCTTTAAAGTAATGATTTTACATATAAATTGTGTCAAATAAAAATGCCAGAAAAGTTTACTAATGAAATCAACTACATTAAACACTTTTGTTTAAAAAGAGCTTAAGTTAAACCACTGAACTGAGAAAGTTTAGTTTGAGGATTTTAGATGAGCTTCAGTTACACCAATGGATCAGGCCCTTGGGTGTATAATGGTACCCTTCTGCTTCTTCCAGATCCCTGCCATATCCCTGAAAAACGGATAGTTTAAAGATGACTTTTTTTCAAATTAGGTATTGGCTACCCAAGCCTATTAGTATAGATAAGTTAGTAGTGGTATATGTTACCAAAACAGTTTTCAAACAAGTAGATTGAATGAAATAAGTCAGCAGAATAGATTTGTGAATTTATGAAATGGGGGAAAAGTTGAAAAAAAAAAAAAAAACTTTAAATTACTTGATCACTTACATTGGTAATACTATGTGCAAAATTTGAAAAAGAACTTGTTATGTAGATGATCTATGCTACCTGACTTAAAGTCTGCTTATAAAGCTACACTTTTCATGGCAATACCGTAATTGGCATAAAGATACACAAATAGATCAATGGAACAGATAGAGTCCACAAATAAACCCACACACTTATCTGTCAGATGTTTTCAACCAAGGTACAGTTTTTAAGGATAAATGTAACAAAGGACACTCTACAAAGACAACTGCAAAGCACTGCTGAGAGCAGTTAAAGAGGCTAAATAAATGGAGAAGCAGCCCATGTTCATGGATTGGCCCACTGGTACTGTCAGTCATCACACCGATCAGTTCAAATCCCATCAGGCATTTTTTTTCCTTCCCCCATTGGAAATTAACAAGCTGATTTGAAAGTTCATATGGCAATGCAAAAGTCGAGTCGTTAAGCAATTTTGAAAAGAAAAAACTGAACAACTCATCCTTCCCCACTTTAAGACTTATTATCAAGGTACAGTAATCAAGTTAGTGTGGTGTTGTCATTGAGGTCAGAGGTAGACAAATGTATCAGTGGGATGGAGGAGGGATTGTGGAATTACACTCACACATATGTGGTCAGCGGGTTTTAGACAAAGGAACAAAAGCAATGCAGTTTTTTCAACAGATAGTGCTGGAACAGTTGCATATCCATATGCAATAAAAATGAGCTTTGACCTATGCTTCATACCATATACAAAAATTATCTCAAAATGGATCACAACCTAAATCTGTAATTACAGAGGTTCTAGAAGAGAACAGAACATAGGAGAAGGTCATGTGACATCACAAGCATGATCCACAAAAGTAAAGGAAGTTATAAACTGAATATTTTATACATCAGTAACTTCTGCTCTTCCAAAGACAGTCTTAAAAGATTAAGAGTTGAGTTCTGGCTCTCACAGTTTTCACCACATTCTCCAGCTGATCATGCTCAATAGCTCCAACCGACTGGGAAAAAATATGTACAAATAACATATCTGATAAAAGACTCATGTCTATGGCATTAAATAACTCTTACAACACATGCATAACAAGCAACCCAATTTAAAAATGATTGGAAGGTCTGAACAGCCACTTTATCAAGGAGTAGAAATGCAAGACAGATAAACACACGTAAAGATTCACAGTATCATTACGTAGTAGAGAAATAGAAATCTAAACAGTGACGACACTAAGCGTTGTCAAGGATTTGGAACAGTTGGAACTCATATATTCCTGGTGGGAATTTGAAATGACAAAGCCACTTTGGAAAACAGTTTTGTAGCTAGATAATAAACAGATCACATCTCCAAGTCTTTCTACTCCTTGTATTTACCCTAGAGAAGAGAGAGTGTGTCCGTGCAAAGCTTTGTCCACAAAAGCTCATAGTAAGTTTATCTGTAAGAGTCAAAAATGAAAACAATTCAATGTCTTTCAGTGGATGAATGGATAAAAATATTGGTACAATCATATAATGGAATACTACTCTGAAGTAAAAGTAAATGAAGTACCCATACCCAAAGCAACGAGAATAATCACAGAGCACTTACGTTGAGTGAGAGAGGCAAACAAAAGAGAATACACATGACATGTTTCCATTTATATAAAATCCCAGAAAATGGTAACTAATATACAGTAACAGGAAGCAGTCAGTGGGTG